ATGAAGGTCACTTTGAGGTAGAGGGTTTTGTTTTCCTCCCTCAACCTCCTTTAAAAAACAATAGGGACAAGCATATTCAGTCTGCCCAGAATAACTTCTTTTATTAAATAGCGCACATATCTGATGGTTCCAAGATCCACATCCACTGCATTGAACCCACTGTACAGAAGCATTACACAAATAAGGGGGAAATATCGACAAAGATGAGAACTGGCAGATCTAGCTTCAACAAGATGGATACGTACCTCTTCATTAAGTTCATCAATGTTCGTTTTCTCAACAAAATTAGACTTGAAAACCTGAAATCCTTCAACTTCGATGCTCTCACCGCATGCTCCACGGAAGCATCTAGGACAAATATAAGATTGTTTGCCCCCATTGCTTGTGGTATAATATATAGCTTCTCTCTTGACATGGAGATTACATAAATTACAATATACCGCAAGTGCAAAAGAAAGGTGCTCCATACAGCACAACTGGCAACGACTTTGATTAGAAGAATTCTGCATTTCTTGACATTGTTCTGCCTTCGATTTAGTCTAGATACATTGAAAACATAAAAAGTTAGAGAATCTGAAAATTATTAATCGCATTTAATCATATTCAAGGAAAACTGGGATCAAATAACAAATATTCAAAAAAAAAAATTGAAATTAACACATTTATGCTTGTAGAGGTCACAAGATAAAACTATCTAAAGCATCTTAGAGTGGCTATAATGTTATGGTATCTTAGAATGACTATAATGAAAAACACCAAAGAATCAGTACAGTTAACTTCTCAACTCTAAAAGGATGTTTACAATGTATTAAACCCTAGAAAAGACACAAACACTAATCTCAAGACACCACTATCTGCCAAAACGAACCATCAACCTTGTGGACTGGCATAATAAATACAATCAAACCTTCCTCACATCTCAATTTACTAACATGGCCCACAATTACCCAGAATCTATGAAGGGAGGAGTCAAGACCAACACAACAACTAACACATTCCCCACTAATCAGATTAAATTTTGATATAAAGAAATATGCATATCCTTTTACATGTATGTTTCTGTACATGAAAGTTCTCCAAAAGTTAATGAAATTAAGTTACCAATCAAAAACGAAAAAGGCCAACTAAGAAAACAAGAAAGGACGATGACTGCATATTAAAAGTCCAACTATTCTAGATGCCCATAGATGCGTTGTCCCAGTTCATGCATGTAGAAGAATGCACTTAAACAGTAATATTATGAAATTTTCATGAAGATTGTGCAAGATTTTCTTTTAACATTATCATTAACAAAACTAGGCTACACACAGTTCAAAGAACTCAAAGGTAGACCAGCGGACAGTGAAAAATTGGAGCCAAAAAGTAAAAAAAATAAAAATAAAAAAAGAAGCCGCACAATACTGCAAATATACTGGAAATCAATTCTCTTCGAATACTAAGTCAAATAACCATTTGAAAATGTAATTACCTCGACAGTCGTATCCATTTAATCATATGCACCATAAAAATAAGGCAGAATACCGTATTCACAGTGAGAAAAGAAAGTAGACCAGTGGTTGTAAATTTCATAGGACGAGACAGTTATATCTATTAAATTAAAATTTGTCAATCCCAGAGAGAAACATGTAAATCTTACCGTTACAATAAGCCTAAACTATGACGATTGCATTTAGTTACCCCAAGGCTAATATGTTTCAGAATGTAAATCCCAAAAGATAATGCTGCATTCCCCCCATAGCAAAGACATCGAGAAGCATGAAATTAGAATGGTATGCCTTGAGAAAGTAGAATACTAACCGGACCCACAAACTGCCTAAGAGAGTTGATGTGAGTTCTAACTTGCTCTGGAATGAAATACTCAAGCAAAGAAGCACCTCTTAGCTGCTGTGTCCCATGCATAGTTCCTGCTCCATGATCAGCTTGTAAGACAACAGATTCCTAGTTTATTTCCGTTTGGCACTCGTTTCTTTCAGTGCAATCTTCATTGGTGGCTTGGGATGACAACCCACCTGAGGAAGTGAAAGAAATATCACCTTTCACCTGAGAAGTGTGCTCCATACCATTTTCCAGTTTGTTCCCTTGACTCTCATGACAAAAAGGTCGGGAACTCCCAACATCAACAAAACCAGGCTCTTTGATTTGAACACCTGTTTTTGCTTTCTCAATATCACAAACCTCTGATATTGGGTATTGCACTTCATTGGTGCAATCTTCATTGGTGAAAGAGGGTATTGCACTTTCAGATTGCTCAACCCTCATTCTTTTCAGTGGGTGTTGCACATCCTCCAAAAGCTCTGAGCTCATAGCCTCTTCCCTACTTATCAAATCCACCTTCCCTGAATTTGATGGCCGGTTCAAAGATGGCTTCTGTTCAAATGTAATCACGCGAGTCCAAAAACAAACAAATCACGCATCCTCGCTACAATGACAATAGTGCCCCCACAATTTCCTCAGCGGCTGGCAAAGGGTAACGAGACAATGAACACTTTGACAACTAGAAATGTGCATCCAAATCCTTCGTGCATTTACACACTCATGATATGCGCATTGGTTTTCCAAAGCTGAACATTTGCTGCCAAGGTGAAAAATAACCAACCATTCAACATGTATCCAATCTTCATTAGTAAGATTTTCAATCGCTTGGGTTTGAGCAGAACAAGCTATCAATTGAGGTCATGACTAGTCTTAGCCAATGCAATGTTTAGAGGTAGGTCTACATTTTGAATGTGACGATTGTCTTTTTGCGTTCCTTAATTTCAACCTCCCAATACGGCATGAAAGCATTGACGATTCACATGATTTCGCCATGCTTGGAGAAGCCACCAGCTTTGAAGTATGCCCTGCATTGTACCATATAACCTATCAATTCTCCATCATAACCAGTGTCCAAAACAATGACTCGGGCTGGTTACCCAGCCAGTGCCCAAGCCAAGTACTCGGACTCGGGTCGAGTCCCAGTAACTTGGCCCAACTAAGGCCGAGTTCCGGCCAAGCTAAAAAGTGTTAAAACAAAATTCCAAAAAATAGGAAAATATGTTTAAAGAAAAAGTAAACAAAGAACATCTAAATCAAGTTAAAACAGTAGTGAAATTTGAAACAATCAATTTGTGAATGGGTATTTTAGAAATAATCTAAAAAATAAGGGATGATGTAAAAATAACTATTCATGGCCAAAGCACTTTCCAATCTTTGCCAAAATGATAGAAAACA